AACGTACATGACTGACTTTCCTCGACGGTGGTGACAGCAGCGGCAATCCACCTGTCACTCAAGTGGCCACACCCTTAATTATGCAGAACTTTAAGGCTTAATATAATTTAAACGGATGAAATATAAAAACATTCACTCCCCTCACAGTTGTCATGAAGGGCAAAATTAGCCATATAGACCAAAACCACTTTTTGTACCAGGCTGTAAACATATTTTTTTCTGCTGTAAAGTTGAGCATTTTAACATGGGAGGTCTATGGGACTGACTCCCTTTTGGAGCAGCCAGTCGATGAATTGCAGTTTTAGTCACTTCCGTGTTGGTTTCACGAGAGAGAACGGAAGGTTGCCGCTTGCATGAAGCAGAAGTAGCGATTGTCTTTTTTTTCTCTACTGTGACGTCTGTCCGAGTGAAACGGCATCTGAAATGAAAGGGCGGGACTTGATTTTGTCCTTCGGGAATTGATTGGATCATTGGAAGTTGGGGCGTTGCTAACAAAGTGGAGGCAGATCTGAATGCCAGTTTGCTGTTAGTTGTGGGGGGATTTCTCGCCACTGGATTCACCCCCGACACCCTAGCATGAAGACATTTTTTATTTATTGAGGAAGACGACGATGAGAACGATCAATGGCACAAAACATGCCTAACAGCACGCGTGCGAGAGAGAGAGAGAGAAAGAGAGAGAGACTGCCTGAATGACTGAGCGCGTCCTCTATCAGGTTAAGTAATATTAATAAAAAATAGTTTGTGATGTCCTAAAAGTAATTTTGTGGTAATATCCTTTCAATTTTTAAGGGTAGTATACTCCCCCATGTCTTGCGTCAGCACTGGTCAATGCATTGATTTCTATAAAGTGAAGCATCAGCTTCAGCTTTTCCCCCTGTTGTTTATCCCAGCATTTACCCCTCATGTCACTAGCTCCGCCCTTGTGCCATAGCTCATGACCGGAAGAGAAGATGAGGCGTTTTGAGGGGGAGGGGAGGTTAACGTTTTTGATTAAAGATTACAAGGGCACATGAATTTAGAAAATAATGAAGCGCACGGATAAATTATTTATAATGAACACTACAGTATTCCATTAAAAAATAAGAATTTTCAATTTTGATTTCATGCCGAGTTTAAATACATCTCTTTAAAAGTTGCATTCTTAGCTATATAAAGCTAAACAAAGGGAATAGATCTAGATAAACACATTAGTTAACCTCAATAATCTGCCAGTCGACCATCAAACATCTGCATTAATGTGGTACTGCTAAAAAGCTTGGTTTATGCCATGTCATTATTGTACAGTGTTTTCAAAGCTTAGCTGCACAATAATATGCAATTTTCAAGCCACAAGGCAGCATTCAGTAAGATAACACTAGTATTTTTCCAGCAAACACACAAATCTGTAGAGAACGTCTGTTAGCTGCTGACAGCGGTGCTCAGCGTGTCCACTGCGGTTGAGTGGATATTGTTTATGGGAGGCTGGGCTCTGTCAGGCGGTCTATTTCAGACCCTGTGTTGTGGCTGCAAAGGGGCACGACGCAGCAGATGCTACAGATTGTGAAATGCAGCTAACACGCATTTTGTCTGCGCCCTCAACCGAATGGCACATGACCTCAGCAAACATCCTCGGTCAAATAAAATGACCATATACCTGAGGGTGTTGACTCTTTGAATTCGAATAGAAAGCTAATTCGCTTCCATTACTCCGAATGATCTTCAACAGAATGTCCTGGATTTAATATTTTACCACGACCGTTCCTGGTGGTAGCGAGTTTGCTTTAATAGCTTTTTTCAAGGTGAAATAATATGCCCCTGTTCATAATGAGCCCGTGCATGTCTGGCAGCGCCCCAGTTGCGGAGCAGTGATAATTAAGGGCTCTATAGCAGGAATAAAGGTTACGTCTGTGGCGGGTTCGCTCGACTGCTCGTTGATGCAGCACACGCGCCGACGGTGCGTCTGTGTGTGTGTGTGGCTGGAATTCACATGAAAGGACTCAGGCGAGAGAAGGGAACAGGAGTGGGCGGGGGACGAGTCGTTGATATGTACAGCGTGACTCAGTTAAACATACTGGACTGCCGGGGTATTTCAGGAGCATTTAATACGTTTTAATTAAAACAAATATTTAGATCGAGAGGACAGATTAAAAGGACAATCGGCATGTTTGACTTTGACGGGTGGTTTTGGGCCTTGCGGTTCGCTTGTGGCTGTAGCTACTTCATTGAAATGGAGTGTATATATTTGTTCAGGTTCTTTGTGTACCTTTTCTCTGAGGCATGTTTAATTTTTGATAAAGCTAAGCCATAAATGTTTTCTCTCAAGCCACTGGGTCACTACGTCTGGACGGTAAATATTTCATAGCTCACCGGAACTAGTTCCGTTATGGACGTTGGTTTTGTAGACAAGCTCGTTGCGTTTCTCGAATCCAGATCTAGCCAGGTTTATTTTAAGCATCAGATGATGATGGCATATGCTATTCAGTTCATTAACAGCTTTTGCTGTATTAGGCCTAATTGAGTCAGACCTGCTTGATGAATATTTCGAGTGCCTGGAGTCTTTGAAGTATGTGCCCTAAACCTTAAAGGGGTCATATGATGTTGCTAAAAAGAACATTATTCTGTGTATTTGGTGTAATGAAATGTGTTGATGCGGTTTAAGGTTCAAAAAGCACATTATTTTCCACATACTGTACATTATTGTTTCTCCTCTATGCCCCGCCTTTCTGAAACACGTCGATTTTTACAAAGCTCATCGTTCTGAAAAGCGAGGTGTGCGAGCCAGCTATCCAGTGCGTTGTGATTGGCCGAATACCTCAAGCATGTGACGGAAATGTTATGCCCCTTACCGTACTGTGATGCCGTGTCCCGGAGCGACGAGAAAAACCCATTCTAAACGAGACATTTGTTGCATCCAGTTGGGACATAATTACAGATTATAATGACTTATACTGTCTTGTTTTTACGCGTTGCGTTGCATCGCGCCACGTAAACATAAAACCATGTCTGCATTTGTAATCAGAGAAACGACAAACAACAAGCGCTACTCTACACTGCACAAAACTCGCGTCTAAATCAATAGTGGCAAATCCTTTAAATATGAAAACGTACTTACAATCTGTGAGTCAGAACAGCCGGCATTGTAGTCTACTCTCCCAGGATCAGGAAACAGTCCTCCATAAAATGCGCTGCACACATCTGAATATTTGGGTTGAACTGTTCTGGAACAGTGTTGTAAATACAACTTAACCACTGATTTCTAGTCGTGTCCTCTTTTGGAAGGCCAAACAAAGTATTTTCGCTTTCGCAACGAAACACACAACGTCTTCACAACATGGCGCGGCGGCAGTGGCAGCAACAATAAAGTTACGCCTTCTTTCTTTGCGTGAACATTTTGGCGGTGTTATGCAAATCTTCCCACACAGTGACATAGACATGTGGGGGCGTGTTTAAACAAGGCGTTTTAGGGGGGCGTGGACCAGTCTAAACTTTTATAAAGAATATCTCTTTGGGTTTGAGACTTTAGTTTTTGCAACTTTAGGGATCTTATCTATTCACAAACAACTTGTAACACTCCAAAGAGAAAGGAAAACTTGAAATCGCATCATATGACCCCTTTAAACCTTTCTCAGCACCCTGTCGAGAGTATCATCAAAATAAACTATGAGCCACAGACACAGTCATGTTTAGAATATCAAGCGTGAATTTATGAAGCTGTATTCCTAAATAAAACTGCTTTTTTAACTTTAAAGGAATAGTTATTTTAACAAAATGCTTGCTTTCTTCCATGGAATACGCAAGGAGGTGTTTTGGAGAATGTTGCAGGGCTCCATACGATTAATTCAAGGTGGTGTATACGGTGAATGCAGATCTCCAACTTCTCCAAAAATGTCAATAAAGCACCATAAAAGTAGTCCATAAGACTCTTGCACTATATATACTCCTGCACACAGTCTTCTGAAATTGATATGCACTGACAATTTCTTCTTGCAACGTAACTATTAGATTTCGTTCATGCACAAACTTATCAAATGATGAAAGAACTTTTTTTTTTTCCTGTAGGTCACTCAATATATATGAAGTTATTATTTATTTATTCATTATTCATTTATTTATCGCAGTAACTAAAATTTCAATAATATAAGCCATGAATTAAACATCATTCTGTAAAATAAGTATAATTAACTACACAAAAAGTGTTTTGAAAGTCTCCAGCATGTTTTATAATACCCAATAGGTCAAACGATACTCCTCAAGCACGTTATCATGTTCATCAAAAACTTTTATAATATTAGAAGTAAAAACATTAGTTTAACACACTCATGGGCATCAGTCACTTCAAGGAATTCTTGGTGGGCAAAGAAATATATAATTATTACCTTACGATCTGTTTTCAAATCTACATCCACATTTGAACATCACAACACTGATGTCTGTCAAAAAATAACACGCACAATATACTCTCATATGCTGATAAATAGATTTGATAAGTGAAAGGATATCAAACAACTTGATAGGTGTTTATTTTTATATATAAAATATGGTTTGATCTTCTCAGTTGTTTAAAAGATTAAGGCAGTTATCAAAGTTTTATCTTCGTGGCACTCTTGAGCATTCTGAACAGCCTGACATAACATTTCAACCAATAGTGTGAGTTTGGGGGTGTGGCTATTTGTTTGTTTAACCAATGGCAGATTAGAAGAGTGTTAGAAATCTGTTTGAAAACAATCATTATATTCATTATTCTGTTTGGTGAGGCTGGTGGTGCAGAAATGACATATTTTAAGGAAATATATTTTATGAAAATGAGTGAATGTGAATGTACTTGGCTATAGATTATATATATAATTTATCAACTCATTTAGTGAAATCACTGATGCCTTTTTCTCACCGGAAAGCACATATTACCTGTTAAACTTGAAATCGGGGTCAAGAAAATGACCAGATCTGACCTTCTCAAAGTGTGTAGTTGGTGTGTAAAGTTACACTGGTTAATCTTTCAATATATGTTTAATCCACAGGAAGTTGCATGGTGGAGTGAAGACCTTTGGCTGTGAGTTCTGTGGAAAGCAGTTCCTGGACAGTTTACGATTGAGGATGCACATGCTGTCTCATTCAGGTAAACCCTCCCGTAAATACCATGATCACGCTCAAATGTAGTCCCGATAAGGAAGAAAGCATAGATTACAGTGCCATTGCACAAGTGATACGTGATCACTGTTGTGCAACAAGTGTCAGCCTCCTGTTGCCCCGTGTTTGTCCACCATGTACCGCAAGCTTAACCTGCTCTAACAGATGGAACATTGCACTTCTATTAGTGACGCAGTGTTTGGTTATCCCCGTCTTCACACTTCCCTCTCCAGTCTCATATGTGTCTCAACTGTTACATTTCAAGCCTGGCAGAGATCCAGTCTGGGCACTTTGCCACATTGTTAGTACAGTATGTACAGTGAATCTTGCCAGCTTGTTTTTTTTCTCATTGTAATGAGGAGGTGCAGGACAGAAACACGCTTAAGGGAGGGGATGGATCCAGTTGTTTATATACATCCAAACCCATAATTAAACGATCATGCTGAAATGATGCTGTTGCATGTTATGTAAGTGTGTGGTATTGTTTCGTGCCGATGTGTGCTATTAACTTCGAACTTTTGCCATCAGATTTTAGTTATCAAAAGGGTCTGTTGCATAACCGTAGACATAAAATAAACCAGATGTAGACTGCAAAATGAAGTTTAGTGCTGAGACTCTGTGTTTTGGGCTTATGCTGTCCAGCTGTCATCCTGTTTTTTATTGTAGCTCCTTTTTAAGATATTTCCCTTTCAGTCTTTGCTTTACAGAGTCTATTATTTGGTTGACCGACATGGGTTTTCCATAAAAATGCCACTAGTGAAAATTCTGCTATTTAATAAAATTTGATTTTAATTACACATTTAATTACTATTATTATTTTTAAATTACAAATGTTATCATTTTAAAAATTGTATCTCTTCTTTCTTCACTTTTCGTTACATATGTATTTAGATACAGATATATAATAGAGATTTACACACACAGCACTACCTCACACCCATACTTCATATAATCACATGTAAAACCAATTATGAAAAAAAACTTAATTGTTTCTTTTTTAATAATAAAACCACATATAAAATATTTATTAATTTATTTAGTTAGATAGGTAGTTCTGTTATGCCCTATCTTTTGTAAAAATAAAAATTATTTTAAAAAGAATGATTCGCGATTAATCGTTTGACAGCACTATATATATATATATATATATATATATATATATAGTGTGTACAATTTCCATAAAAATATTTCACAATCCAAAAATGTTTTGAGTGAAATATGATCCAAACATAATATACATACATATAGTGACCACACGGACTAATACAGTTTAGTTATAGCAAATTATATGCACATAGATATGCCAAAAAAAACACTTATTTAACTAAATATTTACTCAAAAAAGGAGAAAATTATTAAAATATCAGTTAAATACCGGCCTGTTACTATTGGATCGATGATTTAAAATACTAGGAAGCATTTTGTCCCTTTTATGATAGCAGAGAAGGGACATTATTTGGGAAACATGGAGAAATGGCATTGCAACATGTTGCAGGCAGGATTCAAACCTACTTTTTCAGGTCAAGGCTCTCGCCTCAGTATCAGGAATGCTGTGATTGATGTTTATTGAATTCAGTAGTTGCCCACACTAAATTGTGCTTTAGTGGGGAATGTCCTGTTTCAAGTGGAGGGGAAATACACTTAGACTGTCAGCAGGCAGTGTGTGTGTGTGTGTGTGTGTGTGTGTGTGTGTGTGTGAGAGAGAGTGTGTGTCCATCTGTCTGATTAAGTCTGTAGTCGTCTCTCTGGAGGGTTTGTGAAGCCCACCTCACTTGACTTTATCAGCACACGTTTTTGTCAAGATTCTGACTGCTCTCTTTGCCAAATGAACTGAAAAGTCCTCTTTCTTTTATCTCTTGTTCTCTGTCTGCTTCTTTTTTGTGTGTTTATGAAAGCGAGAGGAAGAGATTTATTATTTTTCCCTAAATCCAACCCTCCTAATCTGGTATAAATCAATATCATAAACACTGGCAACAATATTCAGTTACTCCCACATTTAATCTGCTCGTAATCCGCCATCGCACCTGTTCACGCACAACACGAAGCAGAAACGAGAGCGAATCTTCATCATGCGCGGCATTCGGGTTGAAAAGCCCTGTCAAGATGTTTTCTCTTAATGTCTCTTTCTCTTTTTTTCTCTGTCTTTCTCTCTCTGTCTGGGAGAAGCCCTGCGCTCGGAGCCTGGCGACACGCCAGCTCTTCCCTCGCACTGATGACATCATCAGCTGCCGGCAGGTCTGGATGTTCTGCCAGCATTCTGGAGCATTTATGATTGCTCGCAGATGTGTGTCCAGGAACATACTGTACCCAAATCCCAAAATTAATCAAACTTGACTGCTCTCCAAGCCACTGCTCTCCAAAATAGCATGAGCACTGGGGTGGAGGGAGGACACTGGCGGAGTCCTAAATAAAACAAAAATGCAGAAAGAAAACAGAAATGTTGACTACAGGCCTTTGGAGGCAGGCTGGAGAGGATGGAGCAGATGTTTGTGCTGCGGTTGAAGTGTTAAAGGGTTACGTCCGAGGGCATGCCCTACAGTACATGCACCACCATGCCAGGTTCTGACGCTTTCCATTAATACAGTATACTAAGATGTAACTTAGTGTATCCTAAATATGTTTGATAAATCTGAAAAATATCTTAGCATAGAAAGTAACTAGTCTAATGTCCGTATCCTCCCTCTTAAAATGTGGATTTTGGTCTGTCAGAGGTCTTGACATCTTCAACTGTGTTTAAACCTTCAAATATGCAAAAATGTTTTCATTTTGACACAATCTGTTGAATTTATATTAAATTGATTGTCAGAATATTTTAACTATTTACTTTTATTATAGTATAGTATAGTTTAGTTTTATATAATGTTACTATTATTATTTATAATTATTAGTATAATTATTATTTATTATAATTTATAAAATTATATATATATATATATATATATAAATTAAATAAATTATAATAAATAATAATTATACGAATTATATTATATATATTATATTTTACTAATTTTACTCATTCTAAAAGTCCTTAAAATTGTTACGCCTTGATAAACTGACTTTAAATTTTACCCAAATGTAGGGCTAAATTTCAACCCAGTTACCTGCATTTTTCTAGCTTTTTCAAAATTGTATCTTTGAGAACCACTGGATTATAATGACTTATTCAGTCTTTTTACAGCGAAACATAAAACCATGTCTGCATTTGTGATCGGAGAAACGACAAACAACAAGCCCTACTCTACACTGCCCAAAACTCACGTTTAAATCATCAGTGGCAAATCCTTTAAATATGAAAACGTAACGTTACTTACAGTCTTTGAGTCAGAACAGCCGGCATTGTAGTCTACTCTCCCAGGATCAGGAAACAGTCCTCCATAAAATGCGCTGCACACATCTGAATATTTGGGTTGAAGTGTTCTGGAACAGTGTTGTAAATACAACTTAACCACTGATTTCTAGTCGTGTCCTCTTTTAGAAGGCCAAACAAAGTATTTTCGCAACGAAACACACAACGTCTTCACAACATGGCGGCGGCGGTGGCAGCAACAATAAAGTTACGCCTTCTTTCTTTGCGTGAACATTTGGGCGGTGTTATGCAAATCTTCTCACATCGTGACATAGATATGTGGACACGTGACTTTAGGGATCTTATATATTCATGAACAGCTTGTAATACTCCAAAGAGAAAGGAAGACTTTAAATCGCATCATATGACCCCTTTAATCATTTATATTTAATATTGTTAACATTTATATTAAATTTATTGTCAGAATTAATTAAAATAATTAATTCATAATTAAAATTTTATTTTTTATTATTTGCTTTCATTTTTTTAATCATTATTTAGTATATATCAATAGCCTATTTTATATACTATTACTAATATTATTTACTATTATATGAAGAGTTTGGTTCCAAAACGCTATAAATCCATTTTGATTAATTTGAGTAAAAATGTGTTTCCTTTACCAAGAAAGTGGCCAGATGAAAACCACTATTTTCTGTTTCAAACTTTCACATAGCATCTTTAGGTTATAATAACATAAAAAATTCAAATCCAGATTTTGATTTTGAAAGATTTATTATAAAAACTGATTATTTTTTCCCAAAATGCAATAAATCCATTGAATCAATATAAAAGTTATTTTTCATATTGAAACTTGAAAATACACAACAAAGTAAGTTGATCCACATATGACAGCCTCTGAACTTGGTCAATACTAATCTTATTAATAGCTTACGTTTCTTCCCCACCGCAGAAACCACCACAGGTTCATTAATGCCGTCAAAAATATTCTTTTTTTTTTAGGGCTGCACGATAAATCGCATGCGATTGTCATGCGCATCTCGTCAGTAAAGCCGGTTCTGTGATTAGTAGTAAATCCCCATCACATGCTTTCAGATGGAGCGGCATTTAATACACAGAGCCTTAGATCACTGACAAGCTACGCAATATCGCATTCATAATCAAAGGTGATTCATCTGTGATTATGAACACGATATTGCGTAGCTTGTCAGTTACTGTTTACAATGATTGGAAAGGTGCGCTGTGATTGGTTGAGCGGATGTATCGCATTCTGCAGAGAAGGGAGACTGGCGTTTGTCACGGTTTGGAAAGAAAAGGAGAAAACATGACAGAATAACACGGCGGATATTGCATTTTGCGTAATATTAAAAATTTACTTTTCAATACCAACCAGATACAATACTGATTTTAGCGGGAACTCAATAAAAAAAAAAGGCGTTTATCGCGTTTTGGAACCAAACTCTTCATATTTATTGTTTATTATTATTTATTATTTGCTAATTTTACTCATTGTAACAGTCCTTAAAATTGTGACATCTTGACATCTTAAACTGACTTTTAATTTTACCCAAATTTAGGGCAAAATTTTCAACCCAGTTATCAAATTTATACTTTTATCTATATATTTAGCTATTTTTATTTATTTTATGTAAATACATTTTGTCTGTTTAAATTAGATTTGTAATGTATTTTGCTAGAAAATTTGGGGTTTGAAAAAAATGGCCCATATATATATATATAATATAATTGAAAGTCAAAAAGTAAAGTATTTTTTATTTGTATTAATTAATAACAATATATATATATATATATATATAATTTTTTTAAGTGTTTCAGACCCATTGTTCACACTCATGGAAAGTGCATTCTGTTTCACCGCCCGACCTCTATCAGGTGGATTTAAACACTCAACACTCATACCTCACGGACCTGCGGATGTCAGCATGCTAATAAATTACCTTTCTTTGTACTTTGTTGCAGAGTCTGACAGAAGGCTGTTTTTAGTTTGCATTAGACCATTCTGCTGAGTTTATATATAGAGCTGCTTTAATATTATGACCTTTGTGCCTCCATTTTTTAATGATGTTTTTCACCATGACCTATTATTCGACTGACTCTCGCAAATAATATAAATAACGTTATTTCAGTGTTAATGTCCAAACACTTACAATTTATGATTGTTAAACTGAGTCTTTAATTTGTAAATGGGGAAGGGGAAAATAAAAATCTAATTCAGTCTTTATAGCGCATAAAAGCCCTAGATCTTCTGGCCCATCATTGGATTTTGCTGCTTTACATCCCAGCGGTTGCCAAGTAGCAGAAGCCCTTGTTTTCTAATGCTCTAATTTGGTATTCAGCACGAGATTGAATCTTATTTTTGTATGCCAGACAAAGTGTTTTGATGGAGGGTAATTGCAGCCAGTCTGGAGGCTGTTTGGGCTGTTTTTCATGGGCAGTACAGTGCACAATGTGCTGTCTGAAACAGAACACGAGCCTATTGAATGTGGGATCTGCTTTGTGGTTTCTAAATGTGTGGAGAGCTTTTGGAAACGTGTGCGAGGAGACGTATGAGCCGGGCATGGCTGCGTCAAAACAGAACAAATTAGATATGCTGAAATGACACACGATTCACAATAAAAGCTGTCTAGGTAGGTAGCTCACTAGATTTTGAGACACAACCATCGAGGTTTCAAAGCAAGACCTGAACTGTAGCTCCTATCTTTTGCTAACAAGACAAAAATAAACCATAAACACTGAGCATTTTCATTCAAGTGCATCAGAAATGTTCTCACAGGCGTAATTTACGCTGGCGCTGATGAGTCACACCATCAAAGTATTTTTGAGCGTGGTTTGTAATGATTCTGTAAATGAGTGCATTTTTAAACTTTAAAGGGCTTTGGTTGTCGTCCAGAAGGAATGAGAAGAAAGTGTATGTGGAAAGAGACTAATTTTAGGCGCTAGCTGGCTGACTTCACGAAGCTTGTGGGTGCTTTAATGAGTCATAATAAAGCCATTTCAGACCAGCTGAGTGAAAATAGATACTTGATGAGCCGAAGGTCATTATACATTTGGATTTTATAGATTTTTTTTCTTGAGTCTGAGGTACGAAGTCTGCAGGAAATGGTAAAAACCTGCTAGCAGAAGCCATAGTTGTAGATGTTGTTTCCAAGCTATATGCGTGGTGAACCGAAGACGTTGTTTACTTCTCTGTTTTGAGGTCCTGTCCCTCATGAATTGTTCAGAAAAAGCAACGTCAGCCGGCCATTTCTCTTTGTTCGGTGTGTGTGGTTTATCGAGAGTGTTTCTGAAGTGATGGAAACATCCTGGCCTACTTCATAATGGGCCAGCAGCTCCACAGGTGGATCTAATACTATTAATAGATGGATTCCCTCAGGCGGTTGATGGCCATCAGAACAGTTATTTAGTCCAGTTATTAAGGATCGCTGGTTGCAACTAGGTTAAATGATTATTTTCTTTCTGTGTGTGTGCATTTGTACACCTTGTATACGTGTTTCCATCTGTGCAGGTGATTCATATGTTTAATGATGTTTTTATGGTGTGAATTTTGCATAGCCTATTTTTAGGACCATTAAGACTTTTTTTGCGTTATGACGTTATTTTCAGGATAATTAAGCAGCCCCCACCCCTTCTCATTATCGTAATGTGAAAAATTCTCATTCTCATTAACGTAATGTGAAAAAAAAAACTATGTTACTCTATTTAAATTGATTTATACATAATGGTAGTGCATGATGTACAGCCTCCAGTTAATTATTTATTGTGTCCAGACAAGGTGATTTTCTGTAATACAGTAATTAGAATCTAATGAGAATCATAATAATGAAAATTACAAACAGATTCAAGAGTAAAGTATACATTATAGTAATTAGAATTGGGGGGAAATAGTATTAGTATTTATTGATGTATTATAATTTATATTTATTGTATTTATTGATTTTATTTATATTTTATTAATTAACTTGTGACTTGACTGCATTTTTAATGTTACAAAAGATTTCTGCTTCCGATAAATGCTCTTTTGAATTTTCTGTTCACAGTGAAGCCTAAAGTAATGGTTTCTGAAAATTCGCAGGGATAAATTACATTTTAAAATGTAGCCGTACCTGCCTGAGGGTCTGTCAACCTGATATGACCTTTCCTGTTATATGATTATCATTTATTACTGTTATCTCTATGAACACATCATAAATGGGTATAGTGTGATGTTTGTAAGAAGAGACTCATTGTACATGTCAAAAATCAGTCTGAAGATACAAAGCGCTTTAATATCCTTTAGGACATGTTGCTGTCTGTTCTGCCTCGGCTTATGGTTTATGTTTTTTTTCTTTTATCAAGACAAGACAAGAGAAAGCTGCCAGCTCTTGTAGATAAGAACATCTCTTTGATTCTGTCAAGGGACAGTATTTTACCCCGTTGATGTGTGTTGGGGAAAAATGAATGATGTTTAATGTCATAAACAACTCATACTTTGAAATAACACAATTTCAGCTTTTGGCATTGTTTCTGTTTTCTTTTCAGTTCATTTTATGGTTTGATTTTCTAAACATGAGCTTAAAAAGTATATTTGACAGATCAACAATAATGACCGTGTACTGTTTTCTATCCAGGACATTGTTCACGGTTCAGGTTTATAATTCTACTTTATATATTTGTGAATTCATGATTTTGCTCCTTATATTAATGTTTTAATTGCTTTATTGGAGGAATATTCCACATACGTGATGATACATTTTTGAAAATTTAGGCATGCTAGATAAACCAGATTTCTGAAGATTATATGAGTCATAACACGTATTCTTCAGGATATTTGATATGAATTACATTTATATCAGCGAAGGTCAGATTATCACTTCAGCCATGTAATGTCAGTGTTATTATTGTTAACTAAAAATTAAAACTATTAAAAATCTTTTTTTTGGTAATTGAAATAAATCTGAAATTAAATGAAATATAAATATTAGGTGAGGAACTTAAACTCACAAAAACCTTGGCACCTAACTGAAATCATTTTAAATTAAAGCACTAAAACTAAAAAAAAATAAAAAATAAAAGATATTATTAAAAAACTAATAAAAATGACAAATGCACAACAAAATTACAAAAATGTAAAAAAGAAAACTGAACAAATAAAAGCTAATTCAAAATATGAATAAATACTATAATATCATATTTACATATCATTTTAATTATTTTTTTATTTATATATATATATATATATATATTTATATACAAACCCAATTCCAAAAAAGTTGGGACACTGTACAAATTGTGAGTAAAAAAGGAATGGAATAATTTAGGCTGCGTAGAAGGATCCGGGTACTGAAATGGCCAGCCTGCAGTCCAGATCTTTTCACATAGAAAACATTTGCCGCATCATAAAGAGGAAGATGCGACAAAGAAGACCTAAGACAGTTGAGCAACTAGAAGCCTGTATTAGACAAGAATGGGACAACATTCCTATTCCTAAACTTGAGCAACTTGTCTCCTTAGTCCCCAGACGTTTGCAGACTGTTATAAAAAGAAGAGGGGATGCCACACAGTGGTAAACATGGCCTTGTCCCAACTTTTTTGAGATGTGTTGATCAACTTATTTTTCCCTAAAAATGTTCAGTTTAAACATTTGATATGTCATCTATGTTGTATTCTGAATAAAATATTGAAATTTGAAACTTCCACATTGCATTCTGTTTTTATTCACAATTTGTACAGTGTCCCAACTTTTTTGGAATCGGGTTTGTGTATATATATATATATATATATACACACACACTAAAATGACTTCGACTAATAATACTAAACACTACTACTACTAACAATAATAATAATACTAACTTCTATTATAAAACTAAAATTGTTGTTCCCAATTAAGCCATCAGCCAACTGGTATTTACTTTTATTATACTCCTCTTTCTTCCAGCTGGACCAAAAGCACTAGTATGTGATCAGTGTGGCGCTCAGTTTTCCAAGGACGACGCCCTGGAAGCCCATCGACAGACTCACACAGGTAGGACCCTTCTTGCCTCATCTAACAGCAAACCACTTCGCTAAATCACCCTAGTTGACCACCGTGGAAAAAAAAAACCGTAAAGTGGAGATGCGTCATGCATGTACCAGTAGCAATCATGTTTATGACCCTATCAAAACTCCATTCTGATGGTCTTCTATAATTCAGCAGGGAAGGTTTCGGGGCCCTCTAAAATTTCAGCCAATAATATGTGCTGTTACAGGGCAAGGCGGCACACCGCTTTGGCACAGCAGCAGTGCCATGTTTCACCAATCTACATCACTTTGTCTAAACATGGCACGTACATTTGTTAGAGCGACTGTACTGAGTTACCAGAGCCTGTGAGTCATCGACGCTCTGGCACGATCATTAACACGCCAACAGCATTCATCTGCCACCCTCCTGTCAAATATTCATATTTACTGACATCTGATGACTGCAAGGATGGGTTTCAGTGGTACTACAGACATTTTAATAATCATATTTTAGGTGAGGTAAATAGTGTGCTCTGATAAGGTTTGGCATGGGGTGATATGCTGAGTGTAAAGTTGTTTTTGTTGCTGAATACCTGAGTGTGCTCTGTCAGGACACATTGAAACATGTACGTAGGCGTTCAACTAAAGTCTAATGAAAATCAATTCTGTCATTGTTTACTTAACCTGTTGTTTTTTCACGTGTTATGTTACAAGTCTTCAAAAGCCATGTGATAACTTTGTGCGAGGAACAGCCAGAAATGATCAAGTCATCTTCCCCTCCAGTGAGCTGTTAACTCGAGAACCACTGCAACTGCATCTTTGATTCAGTGAGTTGAATTTGAGAGCTGGATAAAATGAACAAATCATTCTTTTGATCCAGTTTCAGTGAAATAGCTGATTTGGTTCACAAATCGGGCTGAAATTATTCATTTGTATATTGAACTGATTCGTTCATGAACCCTCACTGAATCAATGATTCGTCACAGTGGTTCTCGGGGTACAGCTCACTGGAGGGAATAACGACTTCAATTTCAGTCTGTTCTACACCGAAAGCTATTCAGACTCAGAATGTGTGACTGATGTGTGGTGGGTTTTTTGTCAGTTTTGGGGCCTAACTGTCATAGTCATATAGCCTAACTACCTTGATGGCAATACCACTTTGAGTCCAGCTTTTGACATTTCCTGATCATATTCCTGCATCTTTTCCTGTCCTCATTCCACTATTTCTATCAAAAAAGTGAAAGGTAAATGCCACAAATGTCCCTGATTCTACTGTATATACAGCAGTCACAGAAGGAAGAACTTAAGCATGATTAAAAATGTCTAAATGTCATAGCTTGTCACAAAAAATCAACCCCTCCAGTGAGCCGTTAACACAAGAACCATTGCAACTGGATCTTTGATTCAGTGATTCAAGGTTCAACTGGATCACATGAGCAGGTAATTCTTTCGATCCAGTTTTAATAAACCAGCTGATTCAATTCACAGTTCAAGCTGAATGATTCGTTCATGGATTGAACTGATCTCACTGAATAAGTGATCCAGTCACTGCAGTTTTGGGTTTAACAGCTCACTTGAGGGAATAATGACTTACATTTCAGTCTATTCTACAAAGAAAGCTATTCAGACTCAAAAAGAATGTGTGACTGATGTGTGATGGGTTTTTTGTCAGTTTTGGGGCCTAGCTGTCATAGTCATATGAACTGCCTTGGTGGCAATACCAATTTGAGTATAGATTTTTACATTTTACTGATCACATTTCTACATCTTTTCCTGTCCTAACCTCACTGTTTATGCCACAAATGTCCCTGAATCTACTGTATATACAGCAGTGGCGTTTCGTCCATATAAGCTGTGAATGCTCCGCATACCCAGGCCATTTGAGAGAATAAGTTCAAGGGATAATTCATATAAACATGATTATAAGTTGATCCCTTGTCATTTTAAAAGTAACTTAAAGCTTAAAGAGTTAGGGATAAGTACTTATAATGATTTATTTGCCAAACGGCAGTAATTTTCTTTAAATCTACCAGTTGCGGTTGCTTCCGGGTGAGCGGATTCTCCACAGCTTTCTCGCCTCCACTCTGACTCGTCAGAATTGTAGCTCGTTCTCAGTGATTTGTTGGTCTGCGGCAGATTTAATGAGCGAGGTAAGCTGTCTGCCAAGCGCTCGCCCAAACAGAAAAATGTGCTGTTGCTATCAGATCTCAATTGCCAAAAATCACATTGTGTTTGAGGCAAAACCAACTCGACTAAATCAAAAGAAAAAAAACACCGTAACTAGGGATGCACCGATATGAAAATTTTGGCCGATACCGATAACCGATAATCCTTTATTTTTGAAAGCCGATAACCGATATGTTGGCCGATAAATCTATATCCAAATTTTTATATACTTTTTGAGAGCCTGATTACAAAAAAGGTCTCATCATTAAAAACCACATCCCGAACACTATTTTAAAAGTCCACTGAAAACATATCTTCTTACATGTTTGGTCATAGACAATGCATGTTGAAGATATACAATATTGTCAACGTTATTGCCTAAGCGGCAAATTAAATAAAAAGAAAAGAAAAGTGGACTATATAAAATTTTAATAATAACAAGCATGACATTGTTCCCTATGTTTTGCATATGCTTGTGTCGCTTACAATTAAAGTCCTTCTCTGATTTTATTATTGTCTACAAGGTTGCAACGTTACTTTGCAATATTTAAAATATTTTGGGGTATTTTGCATGGTCTGTTATTGGAGTAGTGTCACCCGGGTGGGAGTTTTAACTCCTGTCCTATTCACTGGGAATAAAAAAAATGATTTAGCAGATGCAGAGACATATAGACCGGGGGAATCCCCATCTCACCACCCTCTGATTACGTATCATAACATAACTACGTGTAAACGTTATTTGGCGGTTTTTACTTGGAAAACCAGCTATATTTTTCTTGCATTCGAATAATGGATAAACTTACGATAGAAGAAGGATTGGAGATTAATTTTAATTTACAAACAAGGTAGGAAATGTGCATACTTTTAAATCGACACCAGCCATGGTGTTTCTTCTGTGTTTTGTCATCCGGTTAAAAATGTCACCGCTCGCCGCTGATGTACAGTAGTCACAAAAAGAAGAACTTGGACACTTAAGCCATGACTTAAAATGTCTAAATGTCACAGCTTGGATAACATAAAATCTCCTCCAGCGAGCTGTTAACTACAGAACCGTTGCAACTAGATCTTTGATTCAGTGATTCAAGAACTGGAACTCATGAGCAAGTCATTCTTTTGATTCAGTTTCAATAAACCAGCTGATTCGGTTAACAAATGAGACTGAAATTGTTCATTCAACGAACTGATTCATTCATGAGTGAGCCCTCACTGAATCAATGATTCAGTCACAGCGGTTCTTGGGTTAACAGCTCACTGAAGGGAATAACGACTTAAATTCTAGTCTGTTCTACACAGAAAGCTATTCAGACTACCACAAATGTCCCTGAATCTACTGTATACAGCAGTCACAGAAAGAAGAACTTAGACACTTACGCCGTGATTAAAAATGTGTAAATGCAACTGGATCTATGATTCAGTGATTCAAGATTTAAGAATTGGATCACATGAGCATGTCATTCTTTTGATCCAGTTTCAATAAACCAGCTGATTCAGTTCACAAATCGAGCTGAATGATTCATTCATGGATTGAACTGATTTGTTCATTAGTTCATCTCACTGAATAAGTGATCTGGTCATAGCTGTTCTCAGGTTAACAGCTCACTAGAGGGAATAACAAATTAAATTTCCATCTGTTCACAGAAAACTATTCAGACTTTAAAAGAATGTGTGATTGGTATGTAATGATACTTTTGGGGTAATGATACTTAACAGACATAGTCATATTAATGCTATTTGAGTCCATTCCATTTGTGACATTTCCTGATCCCATTCCTGCATCTTTCCTGTCTTCACTCCTTTGTTTGTATCAATAAAAGTGGAAGAAATGCCACAAATGTCCCTTAATCTATGAACAGTGATCCCATAAAGAATATGGACACTTGAGCTATGATTAAAAATGTCTGGGAAAAAAAATCAAACCAAGCATTTATTGTACATAAAGCTAACTACAGCACACTTTTCAATCAAAACATTTCACAAAAAGAAATTTAAAATAATAAAAAGTAAAGATAAGTTAGTTCTGACACTGGAGTGGCAGCTGTTTTTATACTTTATCCAATTCAGTGACATTTGTAAGTGTTTATTATTTGTCCAAACATTTTCCTGGCCACTTCAGTCCAATCGCAGAGCTCTAATCTCTATACCTCGTCCTATATAACCAACATTTCTACCTTATGTACTTCTGTTTCTTATTGGCTTATGAGACTGGCATCAGAGGATGCAGTCTGTCACAGGTATTCCAGACTGCACTAATTAATTTGCTCTCTGGGTATAAAAGTGTTTCATGGGGCTAATGATCCACATGTTGAGTCTATATAAAGGTTGAGTCCTAATTAAAACAAGGTGCCATACTTTTGTCATCTGTGTAGATTTGAGGTGCTAAATGTTTCCATGGCAGCCAGCTCATAAAGTCTCTGAATTTCTGTTGGATTCGAACCAGGATTCTGTAATATACAGTATTTGTATTATTTTTACAGTAGGGTATGATGCTACTACAATGAGGGTGCAATATCTGTCGCCTGTGTTCCGCAGGGAGAAAGACGATAACCCTCTCTAAAGCGTTGGCATGTAACTGTAACTCGCTGTGGCACACACTGTATAAATACTTAATGCATGTCGACATAGAGGTGGTGTTAACGATGCCCAGAATTTTATACCTTCTCTCCCAAACTTGTAAACATCCCGCTCTCCATTTCAGTTTGGCAGCACATTTAGCGAAGAGGAGGTTAGAACAGACCTCATCCATTTTGAGAAGCCTTTTTACTGCTGGGCTCCGGCCATCACTCACTCAGGGTAAAGCGAGAGATATTGTCATCGCTTACATAGATGCTTAGAAGAATTTTACATTTCTGCCCTGGCTTC